AGAATGCATTAGATTAGGGAGACCATGAGAGAAAAACATGGCGAAATATCTTAATTTTCTCATAAGTATATGACTATATATGACATAAATATTTGTTAGATCCGAACTCATACTAATAATTGAAACACGGGTTGGGTCGGATTCTACGGGTTGTGTAATCCAAAATCCAAACCCTACCCAAAAGAGGCGGGTTGTACAAAAGAAAACCCTCACCCAACCCAAAACCTTCGTTTTAGCGATAAATACGGGTGGGTTAGGTAGGGTTGGACGGGTGGTTCGGTTTGCGGGTGTGTTTGTTCACCCCTAGCTGTCATGACACACACACACACCAGAATTCAACTGGTAGATTGGCATGAAACTGCAAGGCTTTTGCTGTCTCAAGAAGATGTCGATGCTTGCTTTCCACCACTCCATTTTGCTGCGGGGGTATCTATGCATGAGATTTGCAAGATAATACCAGCCTCACTATAAAAATCCTGTAATGCATAAGTGGAAAACTCTGGGCCATTATCTGCTTGAACACGACAAACCTGTTTTGAATGACAAAAATGAAGAATGTAACGGGCAACCTCAGATTTGAATTTCAATAAATTAACCAGACTGCTCGACTAGAATCATCAACAATCGTCAGAAAATAGAAACTCCTATAAAAGAAGGAACCTGGTACCCACCCCAAATATCCAAATGTATGAGCTCAAAACAAGTTTGGGTGGAAATAGAGCTCGACTGAAAAAGATCTCTAGCTTGTTTTCCCCGAATACATGAATGACATGGTTCCTCGGTTTTGACAAGAGGACCAGAAATAAACTGCTGCAAAATAGATAATTTAGCTGAGGATGAATGCCCCAGATGCGAGTGTGATAGACCATTAATTATACATGTTTATACCACCATTCTTGAGCCGTTTGAGAGTCGATTCTCGTGTTTTAAGCTGATTTCACGCTAGGTTGTACGTTTATGTCATATTTCAGGATTTGGCATTGACGTGGAGGCGAGGAAACGAGTTTCGGGCCAAAAAAGTAGGAAGTTTGAGTGAATGGCGATGGAGAACAAAAATACCCGGTCGGCCCTTGAAATATCCGACCGGGTAAAGACGTTTTGGACGCCAGAATCCCAGAAGGGGTCCTGACCGTGGAGCCAAAATAATCGATCGGGTATTCTGGACCTCGATCGGGTACAATGTTCAAGAAGACCTGATTAATCTCTCGCCTAGGCGCGATTAATAGCTAAGCAGAAGGAAATCACCCCGTCTAGCCCTGGGCGATTGATCTAGGCACCTAGGCACTCCGAGGCGCGTTTTCACTCTGGTGGGCGACGCCCAAAACAACTAATAAAGGGGGAAAGTATAGCCTTTTTGTGAAAATCTCAAACCCTATTCTATTTCCCATTTCCATTCGACCAGCCGCTGCCCCTCATCGACCAGTAGTGAGATCCCTCTTCATGGTTGGCGACTTAGGATGTTTGGGATTGTGGAAAAAGGTTGTATGCATATATGAATGGCTGAATAATGATATGGGGACTTGGGTTTTTGTAGAATATGGCTTATCTATAAATTTTTTTCAAGGTTTAATCTCGCCTAGGTAACAACTAATCGGCCTGGACGTTGGGCGGGCGGTACCTCCTCGCCTAGATAGTGCCTAGTGTCTTCTTGAACATTGATCGGGTATTAAGCCCTTTCCGATGCGCAGCGTTTCAAAATACCCGGCCGGGTACCTGAAATACCCGACCGGGTATTATGACCGGGGATCGTGATCTGCTCCCTTTTGAGGGAAAGAAAGCCAATTTTACAAGGGTTCCGAGTTTTTAGAGAAAGAAAGCAGATACCTAGAGAGAGAGAGAGAGTGACAAACCAGAATCTCCAAGCACCCTAGATCGATCTTCATCACCATTGGAGCTCGGCTTAAGCTTGGAGAAGTGTCGATTGATTGCCAGAAGCAGAATCTCATCTTTCACAACATGTTTTCTGCATCTGAGCTAGATTTCCCTTCCTCTCTATGGAGTAAACTCTCTCACTCACCTGGGTATGAAGAACCCTAGATTTGTATGTTAGGTATGATTGTATGAACCCAAGTACGAATTCATTGATATTGATTATATTCAATTGAGGTTTGATTTCCTTAATAGCATGAATCCTGATCAAATTCCTGTTATTTCTGTTTTGACCTAGAAAGAGAATATCTACCTAGGTTGATAAAGCACCCTTGATTGAAGGTAGTGAATTGACGACTTTAGTCGAGGAGTCAATTCACTATTCTGTACCGGATTTACTCCGGTAAAGGAGGTTTGGTTCGTTAGGGCCTCAATCTGTTAACTCCGGTGGAGGTTAGTCGCTCGCTGGAGACTCAGATTGAGAGGGTCTGGAGACCTTTAGTCGAGATTACAGACTGTCTAAGAACCTCCTGCAGTATAACTATCATTGAACTTGAACTTGGCGAATTACAACCTGGCTTAACTGCAGTCTAGGGGGAACCATATCTGGGTAACCTCTCTCAACTTTGAACCCCACTTTCACTGCTCTTGCTTGCTAGTTTAATTAGACCTTCACTACACTTGAACCGCTAAATAATAAGATTTTCATGAAGTAGTCATCACACCTAGGACCCGGGTTGACATTTAGAACTAAACCCGCTATATTACACATTAGTAAGTGGTTACACTTGGCCACTTTCTAGTGTGACGGTAGAGGTGTGTCAGAGTGCCAAAGGACTGAATTATCTGATGCCTTGCGAACTGAATGCGCCACTGCCTGCTCCTCGTCAAATAGCTTCAGATAATAGAGTCCATCCATGTACTTACCCATCTCAATCGGCCTCTTGGATGGTAAGTTCTAAACAACACAAAAGTCACTCGTGAAGATTATAGCCACACGAAGGTCAGTTGTGAGACGACTGACTGAGAGAAGATTACACTGGAAATCCGGAACATATAAGACTCTTCGAAGTAATAAGTTATTTGATAACCAAACAAACAATGTAGTAAACTTGAACTCCTGACCCATTAGGAATACGAACTTGTAAAGCTGGAGTAGGCTCCAACTCATTTTCCAACAAAGATTTATCATTTACTATATGTTAATTGCATCCAGAATCTATAACCAAGGAAGTTTTTTTGATGGCCTACCTGCCATGTTCGAGATTGGGTCGTAGGTGTTCGACTTGTCCTATCTGTGATCAAGGATGAGAAGCTGCTTCGGCTGATGGAATTGGGTTGCTGTCAACCCAGGGATCGGGCTGGAATCGGTGTCAACTGCCGCAGCTTGAGGTGGTGGACGCCTGTCGTGATCAGGTATCAGCTTCTGCTGCTCACTCGTCCTTGAATTATGCGGCGGGTAACCATTTAGCTTGTAGCAAGTGTCACGAAAATGACCTAAGCGTTGGCAGTAGGTGCAATATGGTCTGCCTTCTGCATCTCGTTCGTGCTGTCGCGCCGGTCGTTCAACCTTGCGCTCCCCTTGGGCTTGGAAAACAGCCGCGTCTACACGAAGGCGCCTGTTGTTGGAGATATGATGTTGATGTTCGTCATTAGTAACAAGATGATATGCCTCCGCTAGGCTGGGCATAGGTTTCACAGACATGATCTGAGTTTTGACTGTGCTGAACACGTCGTCTAAATCCATCAAAAAATTGAACAATCTTTCTCCTTCCTTAGCTTCGCGCTGACGCTGCTTCACATCGCAAGTACAGCCGCTGCAGCCTGCAGGTAAACTTAAGCGAAGGAGCGAGGGAGGTCATCTCGTCCCAATGACCTCTGAGTTTGGTGTAAAACGAGGCCATATACGTCTTCTCCTGCTGAAGAAGGTTGATGGTGCGTTTTAATTCATACATCATGGATGCGCTTCCATGTCCGAATAAAAACTGAATATCCAGCCATATATTGTGTGTCGTCTTGGCAAACCTCACGTTGATGCGCACGTCCTTAGCCATGGCGGGTTTGAGCTATCCCTCTACCATGGCATCACACTGCTTCCAGGTGTCGTAATCTTCGCCCCCATTCGTTGGTGGCGATATGTTTCCATCAACAAAACCGAGTTTGTTCTTTGCTATAAGAGAATTAGTTATATCACCAAGCCACTCACCATAATTAGATTCGGTGAGAAAATCTCCCACGAACAGCTGACTAGGGTTGTCCGATCGATGAATCGTGAATGGCGACAGAACCACCGGACAAGAGCTGCTCCCTTTGTCGCTAACACCCAACTTGCTTGAGCTGTTTAAGACTCCTCCTTCTTCTTTATCACTCATGATTCCGGAAATAGCTGTGGGATCAATCACAGCTCTGATACCATGTAGAAAACTATAACGAGAAAAGAGAACACGACGCGAGATTTACATGGTTTCTCCGTTCGATGTGAACGAGACTAGAACACAGAGAGCCGAAGCTCTTAGAGATGTCTTATTGATTGAGTGGTTCTGAGTTACAGAAGCTACAACCGTCAACCATAAACTCGGCTTAAATACAAATGCAAGCAAAGCTAACCTAATTCCCTTCTGCAAGTCACGTAGGGAACACGAAGAATAAATGGGTCACAAAATAACGTGAGCCGGCCAGAGAGAGTGAGCCACGAGTAAGGCCGAGATGACTCGTGGCATCACAATAGTTTAATACTTTAAGTACTTGAACAAATGTCTCATTTACAATTTAAAAGAGATAATATAAACAGTTAAATAACATGATATCATAGATTGTTCAGATACTAATTATTATTCAATAATATGATAAGAACAGTTGAATTTATGACCTGAATAATATGATACCTGAGATCAAGTTGAGCTCGCCAACTGTCTCGGTGAAAACTTTCGAGCTTATTAATGAACTGAACTCGAGTCAAACACGAGCCAAAATTGCGATAAACGAGTCGAGCTCGATTCATTTATTAACAAGATGAACCAGATTAGATCAAAGTCGACTCAATTCATTTGTAGCGGTGTTTTTAATTCAACTTTCCTCATTTGGGTATACTTTTTGTTAGGTATCTGGTTTGTCGTAAAGAAACGAGTGATTTGGTTTGTCGCAAAATGAAAGTTTAGGTCGAATTGTGTGTAATCGCCCTTAGTTTTGGGTAAAATTTCACGTTAATCTTCAAAACACAAACAGGGTTTATGGGAGAACGAGGACATCCTCGTAAGAGTAAAGAAATAAACCTCAGGTAGGAATCTGGTCCAAAATTCAGCTGTTTCGTTCTTTTCACGCTCGAAGCCGCAACAACTTCACCTCTTCCATTGACAGGGTTTAGCTTGTAACTCGATTGTTGAGCACTTCTAGCTTCTCTGGCTTTTCTTCTTTCATCTTACCGTCGCTGCGGTAATAATAAGATTTGTGTCTCGCCGCCGTCGCTGGTGTTTATAATTGGCTAGGCATCGTGGTGGTCGGCGTTTCAACTCTCAGGATTCTCGATAGTATCTCCTCGATTTCCTTCCGGTTCTCTGTTTGGACAATTTCATTAGGGTTCCTGCATTATTATAGTTCATCCATGGCGGCAATGCCTCTGAAGAGGTTACTCGGAGGCTTTGTACAGAGAACGGCCGCTTTTTCTCAACATGCAGCTGCGAATCGGGGAATGGGACTTGGGGGAGCACTCGCCAGACGGTTCTGTTCATCTTCTGCCACCGGAAAAGCTTCGAAAATTCCTCACTTGCCCAAAAAGGTGCTCTCTCTTTTGCTTCACGTTTTCAGTTCTAAGCAAACGAATCCAGTATTCTGAGTTTGTGTTAATGTAGCGGCTTTTGACATTACTCTGCCTATGCAGGGAAGGTTACTGACTGGAGCGACTCTAGGGTTAGTTATAGCAGGGGGAGCTTATGTGAGTACAGTGGATGAAGCAACATTCTGGTACTTACTTGTGAAATGCTTCAAAACCTTCACTATGTATTCCTTATTTTGGCAAAATGCATTGATCTTTGCTTATAAACTACATCTACCAATTTGCAGTGGTTGGATGTTTGATGCCACGAAGCTTGTAAATCCATTCTTCGCTCTTCTTGATCCCGAGGCTGCTCATAAACTAGCAGTCTCTGCTGCAGCTCGAGGGTGGGTTCCAAGGGAGAAGAGGCATGATGCGCCAGTTTTGGAACTGGAAGTTTGGGGAAGGAAGTTTTCGAACCCAGTAGGTCTAGCTGCTGGATTTGATAAAAATGCAGAGGCTGTTGAAGGCTTGCTTGCTTTGGGCTTTGGCTTCATCGAGGTTGGCTCCGTAACTCCTGTACCACAAGAAGGCAACCCCAAGCCTCGTATCTTTAGGCTGCGTCAAGAAGGGTAAGAATGTTACTCTTTGTTCTATTTCATTCACGTATCCGCTAAAAAAGTCTCGAATTTGGAACTGAATGGCATAGTTTCCTGTTTTTGGGGGCAGTGCAATCATCAACCGTTGTGGGTTTAATAGTGAAGGCATTGTAGCTGTTGCAAAGAGGTTGGGTGCTCAGCATGGGAAGAGGAAGCTGGCTGAAACTTCAAGCACTGCACCTCCCACTAATGATGATGTCAAACAGGGAGGCAAAGCTGGTCCTGGAATTCTCGGGGTCAATCTTGGAAAGAACAAAGAAAGTGAAGATGCTGCTTCCGATTATGTACAGGGTGTGCATACATTATCACAGTACGCAGATTACTTGGTAGACTTCCCTTTAAAGCTACTTCTTTTTTCTTTTTTGCTATTATCGTCCTACTTTAAAGAATCCTTGTAGTTTCATGTGTCAAATTCATTGTCAGAACATGCATGCCTGCCTATCTATTAACAGTTTACACGGATCATTATTGCTTGCCACCAATTTTGTCAGCTAGCCTGATATTTGCTCCAGAAATCCTACTCTAGTTGAAGGTGCTTAGTTCATGTTTTATATCTCTTCTTTCTTCTTTTTATGCTAAGAACATTACATTTTGATCCAATGTCCAATGCTTAGACTGTGGCTTTTGGTTTACTGATGCCCAAATAAGTATATACTTCTCTTTATATGCTTTTGTCACTTGTAGGTTATAAATGTTTCTTCACCAAATACTCCTGGACTGCGTACGCTTCAGGGCAGGAAACAGTTGAAGGATCTTGTGAAAAAGGTGTAAAGCTTTAACATTTTAGATTTTACTTAATAAAGTGATTTCTCGTCTCAAGTCAGCCCAATCAGCAGTCTTGGTATTATCCCCTCACTTGTCTCTCCCCGTCCTTCATTCCAGATTCAAGCTGCTCGTGATGAAATGCAGTGGGGTGAAGAGGGCCCACCACCTTTGCTGGTTAAAATTGCACCAGACTTGTCTAAAGAAGACCTGGAAGACATTGCAGCGGTACATAAAGTGTCTGTTTTATTATTCATTTAACCCCTTACCCCGGAGAGCTGAGACAGATTTTTTTTCTGTGCTTGCGTGCAGGTTGCTGTTGCTCTCCGCCTAGATGGATTGGTATAACCTTCAACTTCCACAACTTTTGCTTCTTCTAGTGTTGAGCTATAACCATGCATGTTCTGGTTTTTGAAATGGTTTTCCTTAAAGCACAGTGTTGCTGTGGTGTTCATTACAAAGCTTGTGTAATACCACGATTTCACTGTACATTGGTTTCGAGTATTAGAACTGACAGTGATGCCTGCATGATGTAATGCATAAATATTTTAAAATGTGGATATTTCTACCCGTATTGTGCCATTTCCAATGCCTTTGCCTTTAACCTAAAAGATATCGATAGTTAAAGTTGTTGGTGTTTAATATAAATACTTAGATCTGGCAGTACATGGTTTGGTTGTTAACTTGGTCCTAATGAATTTACTGTTGTCCATAATCACAATTTCTCACTGGTTTACAGCGTTGTACTATTGCAAAGTCCAGTTACTTCCTTGTCACGTGATGGTCTGCAATTCAAACACTGTGAAAGACTATGAATTTATATATGCATGAATTACCGGGAATTTTTTTTTATATATGCATGTCAGGGAAGATATACCATAAATCAGTTAGGCAGAATATTCTGGTTTCTCTGCATAGTATCTGCTATAGGATGCACTTCCATAGCCAGAATGTAAAGCTCAAAATATTATTTGGTTGAATTTGTGATATGGTGTTAGTGACCATAATCATAAACTATTCATTCATTGGTGCTTGAGTACTTCCTTTTTGGGCAACTATGTATACGAATGACTATATTGTTCTGCAAAATTCTTGTTTCTGTTTTTCATCACTTACCCTTTCAGTACACCTTTGGCCAGATCATCTCAAATACAACAATACAAAGGCCTGATGCTGTGAGGAGCGACCCTTTGGCCAAAGAAACTGGTGGTCTGAGTGGGAAGCCTCTTTTCGATCTCTCTACCAGTATCTTGAAGGAGATGTATATGTTGACAAGGGTATGGTGGTTCACGTACTAAAAGCTTTAGAATTTCACCTCATTTACTTTATTTTTCGAGAGGGAATACCTCCTTCACTTTGCATATGATAAACCTGCCGTAAAAAAATTAATAAGAACATAGCTGCTTGACATCAAGCAGTTATAGTATATATAGCTGCTGATTGCGGTGAAATATGATAAGGAACTCCCAATTTTTCGTTTAGAAAAAAAGTCTATTAGGTGGATGGAATTGTTAACTATACAATGAGCAAGTTGAGCTTCTTTTGGCCTAAACAGTTCTCGTTTTGGAATTTAGGCATATAATATGCCCTCTTATGAATAGTGTGTTAAATTGTTAATGCTGTCATTTTTATCATTGCCAGGGAAAAATTCCTCTAATAGGTTGTGGAGGTGTTAGCAGGTGACAATCCCATCTTCATTTTCCCTTCTCAGTAGTTTTTCCTTTATGAAATGACTTATGTATCCCCTTTTCCTGAACTTGTTACCATCTTACCATTGAATCAGTGGTGAGGATGCATACAAGAAAATACGAGCAGGAGCAACTCTTGTCCAACTGTATACTGCATTCGCTTATGGAGGTCCTGCATTAATTCCTCAAATAAAGGTACCTTCTTCTGATCTGCTCTGTTGCAGTTCCAGCACCATTTTTCATTCCATTAATCTCGACTAGAGAACACAGCTGTGAAGTTGCAAGATTAAGGTATATCCTACCATGAACTGGGTAATATTGATTTGCGTTGACAGGCTGAACTAGCGGGATGCTTGGAACGAGATGGTTTCAAGTCTGTCATTGAAGCTGTTGGTGCAGATTACAGATAGTTGCCACTCATTTTGTATATTGATAAGTTAACCTTCTCAGAATATGCTTGAAGGAAAGTGATCTCACAGAAAAAAGTCGTTGAGCTTTAGTAATCAGTCAACAATTCTGGTTTAGTAGTCATCTGGTTGGTTTCTAAAGTTCTGTTGTTTGGTGTTCTTAAGAAAAAAGGACTCATACATGGTTTGTTTATTCCTTGCTTTACGCTTTGTTTACATCTGTTCTTCCCTTGAATTGAGAGGAGTCCTCAACTGTAAAATGTGACCAAAGTTTTGACCAAATGGGATATTGCCCAAAGATAGTTCATATGTTGCTTCTAACATTCGGATTACAGATATCTTTCAAGTTACCTATTGTTTTAGTTTATCCAAGACAAGCACAGCCGTACAAATAAGCAACTTTCTCGCTACAAACGTGGACAAAAAACTACACAGTGACCTAATAACTTTACAGGTGAAAACCAGTTTCAACTCCTTGGCACTACATATGAATGTACAAACATGACCACCACCAATCACTGAACACAGTATTCAAAGATCCTTCACGGTTGCAAATATCAGAACCCTCCACGATAAACCTTGGAATGTTTTCTCTACATGTTGGGCAAGAATCTTGGCAGAGAGGCAATCCTTGGAAGGTTGAGAAGAAGCTCCCCAATTGAGTTGTTTCTTGGCATGGTTGTAGGACCAGCAGTCTTGTACCGAAGGCCACTTTTGTTCTCCCCTTCAGTTCCCACGGGAATTACTGCTTCTTTACTTCCAGCTATTGTCCTTCCGCAATTGTCCACCTCAGAAGCATCACTCTGGTTCTTTGACAGAAAGTTGCGTGCTGAGACCGGATCTTTCTGCAGCAGGCAGCAGAAAGAGTTGACCCTTGACATGAGGTGAGACTCCTCATCCGAGGAGGTAAACTGAGAATCGCTGAGCAAGTGCTGTGTGATCTCCTCCAGAATGTTGCTGTTCTTGAGCTGCCCAAGCGATACAGGGATTTCTCCGGTTTTGAGTTCTGAAGTACAGTGTCCAATGTAGTTCACGAGGTCATCGATTGACATGGATTGTTGAAGAAGTCCACGAGGGTTCATCAACGAAGCCTTCTGAGAAGTGCTTTCACTGGGCCTACCGATGAAAAGTTGGCAGTCAGTACTAGTGTTGGAAGTCGTTGGCAGCACTCCGGATGGTGAGGTTCCTTCCTCCGACTTCTTCATATCCAGAGCTTCTTCACACGGTTCATTCAAGTCCCCAAATGCTGAAACTCTATGGTCGAAATATGGAGAAGAAGTTGACGGAATCTCTGGCCTTTGGCTAAGAATGCTAAGGCGAGGATCACACTGTACGAGTTTCTCAAAGTGCTTCCGCAGGAATCCCTGCTGGCATTCCAGATAATGTTGCCTGCCACAAAAAGGAAAGGACAGTCAGTTCCCATAATTCATTACTTAAGCTCTGCATATATTCCAGAAGAGTATCCATCCACACTACTCGAGACCTACTTCACAAATCAAGACACGTCTTTTACGTACAAGACGACTGTTAAATTTCATTCACATCCGGGGAAAAAGAAGACAAGCTGCCTCACGTTAACAAGCAATGCATACAATTTGAGGCGAGACAGCTTACTTGTGCATGCTGGCTTGTCCACCAGTGAAATCAGTTGAGGCTTGCCACAGAGTGTGCTTCCTAGGTTGAGGATTCGTCTCCCTGAAGAACAGCGGCGGCCTAGCTAACTGCAACAAACAAAACCAACCAACCCTGGATGTTCAATTTCATCATCACTTGCCAACAGGAAACAATCATATATCCAATTCAATTGAGACAAGGCAGCAAAAGAATACCACAACGTGCAAGGTCTCAAGTTCATCATCGTCGGGGAAATAGCCCTTGATGGCCACAATATCAGACCACTGGATTTCAATCTTGTTCTTAAGACCACCATCCAGAACTTCCCAAACCAGCTTATGCTTGGCAAAGTAACATTTCCCCACCAAATCACCTTCATACCTAGATTTGTACTAAAACCCCAATTCACCAAGATAGAGCAAATAAAAAACACAGAAAACCCCAAATCAACAATTTCGAAATGAAATCTGATATCTGAAACTGTAACTGAACTGAAGCAAATTTAAGTTTAGGGTAAATTCATTCTTAGGGTACCTCCCAATCCCCAATTTTCAGGAGCGTAGCCGGGAAGTTCGATGCTTTGAGCTTGTTTGTGTCAGCAGCAGATGAACTGGCGGTGCCCTTCTTCCCGCCATCTGTCTTGTCCCGGGAGAGCTTGGTTTGGACCAAATCTAAGAAAGATGGAGTCTTTTTCAGACGCAAGCCCAAAGGGCTCGGCTCCTCAAGTGGGTCATCCAGTTCCTGCAGAAGCTCAGCTAATCAATTCTCATCTCATGCCTGATTGGTTACCGGGACAAAGGAAGAAGGAGAAAGATAAAAGAGAAATCACCTGTAGAGAAAGCTCTAGCTTCGCGCGTTTGTGAAGGCGGCCAGGCCCGCGATGATCCTCCAAGGAAGAGCCGCCGCCGTCGGATTCTGCCTCCACCTTCACTCCAGGGGAAGAGCTAACCAACTCAACCATCTCTAAAAAAAAAAAAATTCTCCTTCTCGTGGAGATTAGCGAAAAATCGTCTTCAAAACGATTTGGGTTTTGCGTCGCTGCTAGCTGGCTTTTCTTCCTTTCGCTTTCTCCGTCGACTTCCCCCCTAATCCTCTGTTTTCATCCCAAAGCGCACAGAACTCCCGCCTTCCGCCGCTACTCTGCTCCGTTTCTCCTTTTTTAACTCCACCCAAAATGGCGGCTGTCACGTGCCTGGTCCTGTCGGAAGTGCCTGTGATATAAAATACCGAAAGCACCCCCACCGTGTAAATGTATTTACCTCTAATAAAAAAATAATTAAAGACCGGAAGCCTCATTTTTCAGCCTTGGGGGGGGATGAGATGACGGCAGCAAAATTGGCAGCATTAATGATCCGAGCTGGGCCTGTGGGCCACTGGCAACTCAGACTGGGCCTCTGTGCGTCACGTGGAGGTCACGTGGAGGGAGAGGTGCCACAACTCCGGCGGGCCGCCTTTGCTTGCTTTGCGGGTCTCTCTTTCTGGATGGATAAGACGTCGTGGGACCCGCCGCCTAAATGCCGGCCGAGTGGAGCGTGGGTTATTTTACTGTCAGGCACGCGACGCCGTGATTGGCCGGCGACGGGTACGTGTTGAGTTGGAGGGACACGTGGTGAGCTGAGAAGAAGGATGCTTGATTGTAGGCTGTACTATATTGTTTAATCATTTTAAGCTGAGTTGGGTGGATTTGTGGATAGAGTTTCCTACTTGGCTTTCGCATCCCTTCGTTGACTGCCTTGTTTGGTGCTTGGATTTTTTTTTTTTTTAAAGTTTGGTGCTTGGATACTGCTCTGTTTTTTTTCTTCCTTTCTTTTTGCTTGTCGTTTGCTTGTTAAATTTGGGTCATGAATTTGGTACCCAAATTCCAAGCTTGATGAATTTAACGGGTAAATGACACATTTGGTCACTGAGATTATTAGATTGTGTCATGTTTAGTCACTAGAAAAAATTAATATCAATTTTGGTCACTCGAATTATCGAAACTGGTCAAATTTAGTCACTCTCCCGTCAGTTTCCGTCCAACTCCATTAATGTAGTTGGACGGAAACTTTTGGGAGAGTGACTAAATGTGACATGTTTTAGTAATACGAGTGACTAAATGTGACATTTTTCAATAATTCGAGTGACCGGAGTTGGACAGAGGCTACAGAAGAGTGACCAAATGTGACCTGTGTCAGTAATTCGAGTGACCAAAATTGATATTAAATTTTTCTAGTGACTAAATATGACACGATTTAGTAATCTCAGTGACCAAATGTGTCATTTACCCTGAATTTAACATAAGTCTATTGTTTGTTGAAGGGTGCTAAATTCGTGGGGTCCACGGATTTGGTTTTTATTTTGGAACCAAATCTGTGGACCTCACGGACTTGTAAATCCCACATATTGATTTGGGATTTGCAAATCCTTGATGGTTAATTATTTATTTAACAAATTCATCACAAATCCATCATCAAATCTATTATGCAAACATTAGACTCTTCAAATCCATAATCCAATAAATCCAACATAAATCCCAAGGTTTTTATTGGCCAAAACCCTCATTTTTCAAATCCAATTTTTCAAATCCAACAAGCAAACGACCTCTAAAAGTTTTCCAGTTTCAACTTTTCTTGAATGGAGGTATGCTTTTCCAAGTTCTTTTGATTTCGATTTATAAATTGAACACACTACTACATCTACAAGGGACAATTGGGTTGGTCGAATAGCTTGTGACCCATTCTTGCAAATTGTTTCTTCGAACTATCGATCGGTTGTTTGAGTGATTTCATTTCTTGCTTGTATTTCAAGTTAGTCAAGTTTGCCTATGTTAAAAAAAAGTTAGTCTAAGTTCAAAAATCGTTAGGAGCAGCAAGACTCAGTGGCTCCTGCTCAGTGGCACCGACGATAGATAATGTTTGGGGTGTTATACAATTTGTGGCTCTTGCTCAGTGGCACCAACGATAGATAATGTTTGGGGTGTTATACAATTTGTATCGGTGATTTTTCGTTTTTATTTGTTAGAATATAGTTAAATTTAACCGAGTAGATATGAAAACTAATCATATCTTTATGCGAGAGCTCTAATCAATATGTTACTCAGAATCAAAAGTCGCATCCATATTTTGTAAAACCTTTCAACTTGTAAATCAAAATAAAGGAAGGACATATAAACGAAAGATTAGCATAGTTAAAACTAAGCAGGATTAAAGGTGATTATCATTTATCAAGATTGTGTTTTCCCCTAGGTCTGACGGAATTCTTAATGTCATGTGAATTACCACTGGATCTTTAGTAAAATATTTCATCATATCTTATGTCAGTTTAACGATTATTTGATCTTATAGGTTACAATAGATCGTACAGATTTCTCACTTGAGGAGTTTAAGTAGTTCAAGATTGATGATCGATTGTGAGAGATGATTGTGTCCAGCCTCATCTGACACAAAACATGTTCGAAGCTATTGGCATGTGAGAAAATAGTTTCGAGTAAATACAAAATCTTATTGACAAGAAAATATCCATTACGAAATCAACCATCATTCTTATGGTTCCACACAATTTGAATAATCTTGGTATTTAACTATCCATAAATATTAAATACAGAGAGAACAAAGAATACCAAAGGAGGAGACATCACCATGGTGATTCTCTTCTTGATTCTGACTTCCTCCTCATTTTGAGGCTTCAGAGCTTCTCTAGGTCATATTTCTGTAACAAAAACCCCTAATGACAAAGATGAATGTTGCTCCTCGAAATAAACCTTTTATTCGCGTTTTCCGAAATGGAGGGCTTTTTAGTTGTTTGGGCCGCCAATTTGGGATTTTGACCGCCATTTTGTGCTTCTAGCAGACTTGACAACAATTTTGCTGTTGACTAGTTCAAATCGTATCTGACTCATCCGAAATTTAAATTTGTCCCCCCATAAGATCCCAGACGCTCGTTTTCATGTCATGACGATCCTCCTTGATAGCTCGATCTAAAAATATCCAAAAGCTACCCAACAAACATCAAATGTGCTAAAATACTTTCAGGTCAGGCTAAATGCACCTTTAAGCATATATCAAGTAAATTCAAGTTGTTATGACAATGAAGACCTGAAAACCATATAATTTTGTCAATAGAACTAAAGAGATAATTTTTGGTTTTTAGATTTTAAGTATGAGATCTTCCAAACTTTTAGCCTCAGTTGTATACAACTTAACTCCAACACCTTTGTTCTTGAATTCCATCAACATTTGATAACTCGGACTCGAAACATTACACTATTTGCCATTACAGAATCAAGCTCCAGCTGGTCAAGCAAAAAAGAAACATTACACTATTTGCCATTACAGAATCCAGCTCCATTCTTAATAAAGCCTAGCGCAGATTTCTATAAAAAAGAAACATTACACTATTTGGACTCATCAATGTACGTAGTAAATCATTCAACTATAGAATATATTTGTTTATATTTATTTATTTATTTTTATACATATAAAGCTAAATCAGCTTTACTGTTCACTAAAATGACTCTTCAATTGCCCTCTGTTATTTCTGGTCTTGGGCTTTTGTACGGTCGGTCATTTTGTTTCCCCCCCTTTTCTTATAAAACCAAATTAGTTATCTTTTATAGGAAGCCAAATAAGTTATAGTGTTCACTAAAAATTGGTCTATTAAATTTGGGCTGTTTTATTTGGTGCCTTGGACTTTTATACGGTGTGAGTTAATTTATTTACTTTTCATCAGTATATCTGAATTGAATACGTTTAAATAGCTTTCCACTATTCTATTTTGTTGATAAGAGTCAAAACTACATAGTTCAGTTAAAGAGAGAAGAAGATTTGACCATTTCAATCTTAGGTCCGGATATTTTACTTAGAAAATATTTATTTTGTCCAATAAAGCACTGCGATAAAAGAATTGGTTGTTCGCCACATTCCCGACCTGTTCTTGTCTAGATTACATTTAATCTTAGTCAAAATACTTACGACGCGGGTATGGTTACTCTCACCGGCCCGACATGCCCTGACCCGCGCCATTCTCGACCCGTTCTTGCCTAGATTACATTTAATCTTAGTCAAATTACTTAAAATTTTCCTTTTATTACCTCATATTTTAGCTATCATAAAATTGTAAATAAGTGAAAACCTCAATTTCTCCAATAACTTAACTACATTTATCATATTATGGTTGGTTTCTTGGTCTTCCAATGAAAATAACGAATATTTCTAATATTTTTTTTCCATATAAATTACTTACCTATTGGGTTGACCTACCCGACCCGTGCCCCATGATAAATTACTCGACCAGTACCCGACCTATCGCAGAACGGGTATGAGTATCGAGATATCCATCCCGGAGCTGCCCATATGCCATTCCTATATACAAGTGTTACAATTTTTTACTTTGACATCACAAATTCTACCCAAATAATGTTTGAAATTAAAGTTATAGTTAATAAAGAAAAAAAGCACGATTAGAATCTATCAATAATATGTATATTTCGATTACAATCTTCAGTCACCCGCAGTATTGCGCGGGTCATAATCTAGTATATATATAAAACTTAATCCGTTATACGGTTCATTAAGGATTTTAACTTAATAAATAAAATATTAATGGTTAATATTTTCGTCTGACCCGAGCTTTACACATATTTAACATCCTAACTAATTGTTTCGATCTATAACTTCGTGGCCTCAACTATGCATCAAATTTAAGAAAATTGAACAAATCCGGGAGTTAATTATTATGGTGGACAGTTAAAATCATTGACTAACGGTCAACCTGCCATAAGAAGCATCACTTTGTCAGAACTAGATGTATGACAAATTGGATATCCCCATAAAAGATAACACCAAAAACCTGGGACTACCTAGTTTCGATCGCCATTACAGAGGGTAAAGGAAAGCTGCATCTTGAAATATGTACACACAAGATGAGAAGCCTATGATGCGTGTACTTCATTTTACCCTCCCGTATTTAATTACCATCAGCTGGACCTGGGCTTAAAAATTGTGCATATTTGAGATAACTGCAATCGTTAGAATTATTAACCATAAAAAAAATCATTAGATTTATAATATAATCTGTCAACAAAACTCGCCGATACTACAGTTGTAAGGCTTAAATCGATGATATTGTAAGGAAATATTATTATATCATAACAATGTCTTATCACTGATAATTAGGTGCCGGTGCTCTAAACTAGATGAATTAGATAAGACAAATTGGTATTATGGATAGATAATGTAAAAAAGTCTAAACACAATTATTGCTTTCGCAAACAAGTTGACGGG